CCTGGTGTTATTCATAAGTGTTTATGTAAAGGCTATTTTACACATTTGTAACCACTTTTTCTGTGACTTAACATTAAAAAATTGTGTAGAAAAATTTGTTTGCAGGTGAACATTTTAAATACAAATACAAATCTTYTATGTAGGTACACAAATCTAAATTTTGGTGGTGACATTTTTTTCACAGGTACACAAATATTTTAGCAGTTTACAAATAAAAAAAATTGCAGTTTTTTTGGCACATATTTATCTTAATAAAAGAGTCTACTGTAATTACACAGATTGACACTTCAGTATTTATGAGTCTGATTATAAAAGGTTGAAATAATGAAGTTGTTACTGATCAGTAAACCTTCTTGTGCAAAGAGTTGAGAAAACACATCACTCTCATTGTTCTCTCACATCTTCTATACAGAAGATTCGATGTTTCACAAAGTGTCTCTCAGGTTTTTGTGTTTTGTCACTTGTTTACTTTTTAAAAACCATTCAGACTGTTTGCCAAAAAAAATTACTTGACTTTAAATTGTTATTTTATTCACTTGTTTTATGTTTCTTGTTTGCACAATTGCCTTTGGCTTAACTTGAATATGTGTTTATAATATTTTGTAGTTGCTAAATTATATAGTGTTTTAGTTACTGTATTTTAGACCCTTAAATTGTGCATCTATAGAAATAATGAGATTGTCAAAAATATTGATCTGTTATATGTTTATGTACGCTGCACAGGTAAAAGACTTTTGGCACAGATGTATTTAGATTTGCTTTTGCTTATAGTTTACATGTTCCCAGGTAGAATGCCTAACCACCATAGAGTATTTTTATAGAGTACAATCTTTGCAGTCAAATCAAAGCTTTGCATGACAAGGAGGAGCAACAATGCTTAACTGCTTTGTGCAGTGAGGCCACATGGTTAAACCACAGATTTAAAGGGATCCACGATTAGTTGTAACATTAAACTTTATTTGATAAACATTTACTTTAATTGTAAAATAAAGACTATAAAAATACTGTAGGCTGTTTAGTTTTGTAGTTTTTTAAAATATATTTTAACACGGACGGAGCCATTTTATTTACACGCAAAGCATTCTGGGTAAATGATGACATCAACTAGGTCATCGGTGCGAGGCTGCTAGCGAGCTATATCCACCCYGAAGGTTAATCTTGGACAATATCTGATGATCGACTCTTTTAAATGAAACCAGAGAGCGTTGACAGAGAGGAGAGGGTAGAAATGACTCAGCCTGGAACTGAAAATATGGATGGAGGACAACAGAGCTGCTTCATGGAAGAAGAACCTCAGCTGAGCCTGTTAGCCTTCGCGCTAGCCCTTACGCTATATTGTCTTATATGTATTAGCTCGGTGTTAGCGCAACACACAAGCTAAACTGAGGTCCTCCATCCATATTTTCAGATGCAGACTGAGTCATTTTTGTGTTCCCCTCTCTGTCATGTGGATGGAGGACCTCAGTGATGAGAGGAGAATGTGTAGCGCTGAGTTAATACATATATGTGGTGATAGTGTCGGGGCTAACGCTAAAGCTAACAGGCTAAGCTGAGGTTCTTCTTCCATGAAGCAGCTCTGTTGTCCTCCATCCATATTTTCAGTTACAGGCTGAGTCATTTCTACCTTCTCCTCTCTGTCAACGCTCTCTGGTTTCATTTAAGAGCCAATCGTCAGATTTTATCCAAGATTAATTAAGATTAGCTCGCTAGCAGCCTCGCATCGATGACCTAGTTGATGTCATCATTTACCCAGAATGCTTTGCATGTAAATAAAATGGCCCCGTCCATGTAATACATTTTTAAACTTTTAATTTAAAAATTATAAAAACTGAACATCCTACAGTATTTTTACAGTCTTTATTTTACAGTTAAAGTACATGTTTATCATATAAAGTCTAATGTTACAACTAATCATGGATCCCTTTAAAATACTGACATAGAAAGCCTAATAAAATAAAGTGTGAACACTGTCTTATTTATACCCCACCCCCATAAAAATCACAAAAGAGAAAAAATCATTCACTCTCAGCAGTTTTCTGTTTATTTTATCATCCTAATGATGTGCTCTTCCTTGTGCAGCCACATCAACCAGAAGACCCAGTTTGAGAATCCAGTATTGGAAGCTAAGAAAAAGAGTGCATCTGCAGCACCAACACCAGCAGCTGTGCCCACAGGTGAGAGCCCATCTGAGCCAACTGCAGACATACAGTACACTAACTGTCCAAAAACAATGTTAACCCCTGGATTTAACTAAGCAAATAGGTAAGAACCTCCTATTGGATAATTACTGCATGGCCGATTATGGTCCAGCTGGCAACACGTTATTTTTACCCTAACTAAATAACCCTTAAATAGCTTCTCATTTGTTAAATAATCATGTCAAAAGACACAGCCTGTGGTTGGAGAAAAGATGTATTTTGTTTCAGAAGGGTCWGATTTTTGGCATGCATCAAGCAGAGAAAACCTCTAAGCAGATGGCTGAAACTACTAAAAATTGTGTTAAGAACGTTCTAATGCATTGTTAAACCTGGAAGGACAGTGGGAAAACATCTGTGAGGAAGAAATGTGGGTGGAACGAAATCTTGAATGATCATGATGCGTGATATAATAAATTTAGACATTTTAATAATTAGGATATGCAATTTACTGATATTTGTTTTGTGTTTATGTGATCAGAATGACAAAAAAACATGAATCCACTGCTCATGGAAAATTGTGCGACTAAGAATAAGTGTGCTGCAGTGTCGTCAGTAACACGCAAACTTTCATAAACTTTGAGTCAAACTTATTTTCGGCCTATGACATTATCTGCGTATTTAATATATWTTTTTAAACTGCCGTAATTCCCATGGAATGGTTTTTAATTATTATTATTATTTTAATTAATTCCCTAACTTAACTTCTTATGGAATGTTTCTGGAAGGTTTTTTAAAACATTTGCAATCAGTTTTGTCAGTAGTCATGCATCACATGATCTTAATCCAAACCAGTCAGAATCGCTGTACAGCCAGTTATAATTTCCTGTTTTTAACTAATCCTGATCAGGACCAGCTATAGAAACATTGTTTATCAATGTTTTATAGATAATAAAGTTAAGATGAATTGATCATATCATACAGTGTTTGTTTGTGAGAAGTACGCTTTAAAAAGTAACAATAAAGAGAAACATTTTTAAGTTCTAAAACTTGATGCTTGCCCTCTCGAGCACTGATTATACCACAGGAGCTGTAGTTCTATGATACAACTGTCTGTTCATCATAGTTTAATCCTTATCAAATTAGTTTAATTCTTTACAAGGTTTTTACTTTTCTCCCCCCTACAGTAATAATAATCAGTGGTTTTCACTTCACCTGTCAGCGTTCAAAATGTCCAAGCTGACTGGTGTAGTGATTAAAATTAGTATCAACAGCCTGAGTAGTTTTGTAATTCTAAGCCTGTGCTTCCTAATAAACTGCAGCATTATAAAGATGGATGTTCCAGCTGAATATTTCCAACTTTATGTTCAGTGAAGGAAAAAAAAAAAAGCTTTAACAATGCGGTATAAGTGTAATCTAAACACTTGGAGCTCTTTTATCACGTGCTTTGTGCTAAAATGTCTGTCTGTTCCAACAACTGATAAACTGCGTATAGCCTCTGAAGCCATGATATTCAATTTGAATAATGGAACAGAGCATTGCTGCGTGACAGAATTAATTTTGACAAGTACAGTTGTAGATATGAAAAAGGGGGAAAGGCTCCGAGGTCTATTGGAAAAACGGTTTTGACTCTGTAGTGCACAGCAGCCAGAAAGATTTTGTTAAAAGACAGGACAAGGAAAGGAGAACTGGAAGGACAGAGGGGTTAATGCACGCTGAACATGATTTATAGTCATAAATTGCCTTTCCGCTGGTTTATCGTCTCGTCATTTACCACGTGTGATGATTGCAGCTGATGCAGTCACCTTCTGCTCAGTAGATGCAAGAGCCTGAAGAATGGAAGCCCCGTGTTGCAGAAACAAGACAAAATTAGTAGCATCCTCAAAGTGTGCATACACAAACCATTCAGCACATTAGTATTCAAACTAGCCTCAGTGTTTCAGACAGCGTTTAGACAGATCTGTCTGCCTCAGTCTGCTGCACCTCCCAGAGCTCAGATTCTCTGCAGTCTGCAGATGATATTGCCTCTGTGTATCACCACCTCCAGCTGCCTCTGACATGCCACCGCGC